TTCGTCCCATTATTCGATAGTATTTTCCTCTTTTCTCTCGCTTTTTGGATGTTTTCCTATATTTCATGGACATGACCAATGAAAAATTTCCAGAATTTCCTTTTTTTCCTTTTTTTAGCATGCACCTATAAAACAAACTAAAACGAACAACAACAAGTGTTTCTTGAAGTTGAAATCTTTCTCATATGAATTTTCTCACAATTTGCTTATTAAGCATCTGGTCTATTTATAATCCGTAGACCAGTGAAAAAAAAAATCTCTTCTTTCTAGCACTTTTCTTGCATTTAAAAATGCAATTGATTGAATGAAAAAAATAAGAAATGGACTACTTTGATCACAGATTGTCGTTCTAATTATTTTAAGAAAAAACCGATATGATATGTAGAAAGTGATTCCTCTCTTTCTTGTTAGGGTAGATCAATGCAATCTTCTTGAAGTATGTAGCTCAAAGCTTGACTTTGACATGTATTGCATATCATCTGGAACGATAATTTAACTATTATATTCGTCATGATGACAACATTTAATTTTTTGTGTTAGAGTTAGATGATTCGGTAATGTTGGAGTGTCACAATCATTGGCACATTTAATAGCATGGATTCGTGTTTCTTCGGTGCAACCTTTAGTTGTGATGATGAGCAGGGTGCTGGCAATTCAAAAAGATAGCATAATTTGAATTAAACAGTGAAATTTTCAAAGAAAAGCTAAATTTTCATGTTTGGTCGTATTCTGAAATTTCAAAACATTTTTTCTTATTTTCCATTGAAAACTGTGTCTAGAACGTTAGTTTTGGAAATTTTAGAAGCCAGAATAGACTCAGAATCTGCGAAACACGAACAGAATGGTAATGAGACATAAAGAGACTGTCAGTCAATTTGCAAACCAATCTAGTCGTAGGGTTTAGGAGATAAAAAATTTTCTTTTGCTTCATTCTGATCGCCATACTTGTGGAGGGCGAAAGTTAAGTAGCCTTTTTCGTTTCATTGCCCAGAAATTCAATGTTTTTCGAAATCAGTGAAAAAATAATGAACTTGGGTTCGGATTTTACCGTTTCCTCTATCGAAATTCAACTTTTCAACAAAAACAATGCATTTTCGGAATCAGCTTTAAAAATTGAGTTGAAATATATGTGTTTTGGAGTTTTTCAGCAATTTTGAGTGAAAATCCTTAGTTTTCAATTTTCCAGAAAAACCGAAAAATACGGAGTAATCTAAAAATTCCAAAATACACATTTTTTCATGCTATCTTTTGGAATTGCCAGCATCTTATGTATTTACTCTTCAAATACTTAAAAATAAAGAGTGAAACATTTAAGTTGTTATTCATGAAGTTGTTGCAAGTTAAAAGGAATTTTACTTTAGCCATAGCCTGTGTAAACTATTGTCATCTTAGAATTGTAAATTAGGTTTTACTTTTTTTAGATTCAGCCATGCCAATTCGTTTAGATCTTTCTCCAAAAGCACTGTTAAAAAAATTCTTGAATAATCAACTTCGTGTCTATTCTGTCTTTTATCTTTGTGGTATTGGTGCATTCATCTATTTAACATGTCCATTTGTTCATCATCGTACATATTTATCTGAAAATGCTCTTTCACCAGGACTCGTCTCATCTGATATCTCAATGTCTGAACAAACACGTCAACTCAACATACTATTACGTCAAACATTTAAAAATAATAAAGAAAATATTCAAGATATTTTGTGCAAACTATTGCGAGATAATGGAATTGAAGCTTATAAACAACGATTTTCGTACAATTTATCAGAAAATTCATCTTTAAATGTTTATGGAATTGTACGAGCGCCAAGAACAGCATCAACAGAAGCTATTCTGTTGGTTGCACAATTATATGTTCATACACAGGATAAAAAACAATTAAAACCAAATATATTAGGTGAAACACTTAGAATGAACAAAATTGTAACGCTTACTAACATGTTATATCTTCTTTCTCTATTCAGGTTTATCTCAGACATTAACGATGGTATTTGCATTACGTCGTAAGCCATACATGTCAAAGGATATTATCGTCTTATTTTCCAGTGAACAAGAATTGGGTGCTAAAGCGTGGCTAAAATCGTATTATCATGCTTATGATGAAGATTCGCTTATTAAAGCTGATTCTCTGCCTGCACATGCCGGTTCAATTCAAGCTGGTTTAAGTTTAGAATTTCCATCAGATAAATTTTATTCAATTGATTTACGTTTCAACGGTCTCAATGGTCAATTAGCAAATTTAGATTTAATCAATACTCTCATTCAATTATGTGATAAACAATCGATACCAGTTACATTCAACTATGTCTATGTTGATTTATCAACAAATGAAGATGCTATAAATTATTTATTAAAATCAGCGAAAACGTTGCTATTAAATCTATTAACCTTATCAACAGGTGTTTCTGATGGTTTACATGGACAATTTCTTCATTATAGAGTTGAAATGGTGACATTATTTGGAAGTTTAAATAAACAACATACATATCAACATAGTCCAATTACGATACGTGCAATTGAAAATGTTCTAGAAGGTAAAAACATGTTTTTTATAAATCTATATTATTTCTCTTTTAAAATTGTATTTTCTTTTAGGATATATTCGTAGTATTAATAATCTTCTTGAACGTTTTCATCAATCCTTTTTTTTCTATTATTTAATTAATCGTCGTAATTTTGTTTCTATTTCTGCATATATTATTCCATTAGGTATTATATGTGCACCACTCTTATTACGTGCACTTGTTCTCTATATGACAAAGTTTTTTCAAAATGATGATCGAATAATAAAAACATTAGGACGAAAAATGAAATTTCCTATTAGTTATGAATTTATGTTAAAAGAATTTTTAACATGTTCAGTAACAAGTTTCGTATTTTACACGATATTTAATTATTTTTATTCAAATCAACTTTTATCAATATTTCTATTGATCTTCACAGCCATTTTTTGTCTTAATCCAGTCTATTATCGACTAAAAGCAATAAAAACTGGTAAGAATCGATATCAAAGAGTGATATTTCTACTGAAATTGAGTACGATCTTTTACTATTTTAGTTTCGTCCGATATTGATGAATATAATTTTGATTTTTATCAATTTTTATTATTAATTTATGGTGCAGCTCTGTTAGCTTGTTTATCATTGTTAAATCATTCATTAGCATTTCTATGTTCATTATATTTATTGCCACTTTATGCTCTTGCAGGAATTTCAAAATTTACTCGAGAATTTTTCTTTGTTAAATATGTTACACGATTTTGTTTTGTTGTGATATTTAATCCCATATTAATATTATTCATCTACTATTTACTTACAGTAACATTGATAAATGGATGGTCGATTAAGAATGTGGCGCAATTTCTGACTGATATGAGACAATTTTTTACGTATTATCGACATTTTTTTCATATATGGACATATGATGTTGTATGTTTAGGATTACTACCACTGTGGTTGGCTTTATACAGAAGTACGTACTGGAAATGGAGACCAATTAGTTCTGTGGAGAAGCAGGAGCAACAACAACAACAACCACCACAAGTATTATTTCCAAACAAAGAGCAACAACAAACGATTGAGGACGAAGGATTACATTTAGATGAAATAGAAGAGAACGTAAATAAATAATCTATTTGATCTCAATCTAGTCACACATAGATAAAAATATCGTCCAATGATTTTGTAACAATCGACAAGTATACCATGAAACGTTGAACATATGTTAAGAGAATAAAACTATCTAAAAATGTTTATTTGTACACTTTGTTACAGTTCTTTTTTTGTATATGTTTTTCTTATATTTATATTGTTTTTTCGTTTTTCTCTACAAATTAAATATTCCTAGAGAACGATATGACTGTTTTACGAACTTAGTTTTCTCTGTACTATGTCATATAGAATGGTACTTATCGTTAAATAAGTACCAAATAAAACGTTTTATTATTACTTTTTTTCACGTGTATAACACCCCCAGTGAATGTACTCATGCGTGAGTACTCAAAAAGTACTCTGCTAGAAAAACAGGACGCGTACTCATACGTACTCACCTTCTGGATAATTATTGAGTACTCAGAGTGAGTGAGTAATGAGTACTGTGGGCGCGACTTTGAGTACTCATGCTAGAGTATTATTGAGTACGCATATAACTTTTGGCAAAATACTAATAAGTATTGTTCATCTGGTATTTTTATATAAAGAAGTGATCTCAGGCAGCCAGAGTTGGACTACGAGTCTATTCACAGACGACCGAGTCCATCTCTGACTATATACAGAGAGACCAGGGAGAAAATAATAATATAAATATTTTGTTTCTTTACTAAATTCTTCGTTCTTTATACAGTTTTATTTTTGTAAAACCAAATGGTAAATGAATATTTTCTAAGTACTCACTGAGTAAAAAAATACTCAAAAGTTGTTAGTAGAACTCATATGAGTATTCATGGACGAATTATGAGTAAAGTCGTACTCATAGTCTGAGTACTTTCACTAGAGATTGCATTTAGTATAGATCAGAAGTAATCTTACCACTAGCAAATTGTACACATCAAAAATATGTGACTTTTTCAAAAAAAGAGATGTAATGAATGTGAGACAACGTTCTAGCGAATGCATTTGACGAGAATGATATTTTGAATCAATTGATGAATTAAGCACTGATACTGGTAAACTTGTTTCTGATTGTATATAGGATAAATATTTTTTTCAATTTTGACTAATATAGAATTTGTTGTTTTTGTTTTCAGACTTTCGATTTTAAGTTATTGTTGATCAATGTGATACATTGAACCTATACTGACTATTTTTCAAGTGAAATATAGAATTTAATAGAATAACAATTAGTTTTATTAATTAATCAAAGATCGTGACGTTACGTTTTCCATGATTATTATTCTACACTATCTAAAGTAGTTTTAAATTATATATGAATATGAGAAAAGATAATGATGAAAAGAAGAAAAAATTTATTCAATTACCTTATGGTATGTAGTGTTCCCATAGAGCTCTATAAACAAACATCTATTTGTTTATGTTTTTTTTAGCAGTCGACATGTCTTGCTCTCGTTTTGGGTGACAAAATTTTATACTCTTCTACTGTATATCATTCAAAACTGGCGAGATGAATAAAAATTTTAATGTTCCGAAAAAATAATGATAACTTCGTTCATCGTCAAAATACAAAACGAGCCCTTTCCTATATGATATTAAAAAAAATAGAAAATGTCTATTTTTTAAACAAAATCATTTGTCTTTTATTACACTTTTTTGTCACACATTCAATTTTCGCGCAGTCAAACTCATTTGCCTAGATATGAGTCCTCCTGTATCACAATGTTTCTAACAAGATCGATCCAACTGTGAGGAAGAAACTTTCGCGTTGAATTTTTTATCAGAAATAGAGTTATTTTTAAAAATGACAAGTTTACATTTCATTTCAGAGACTAAGAATTGGCGAACTTCGTTGTTATAATGAAATGCGAACAGAAAATTAGTTGACAAAAATAGAAGTACTGTCTTTTATCCATATACGACGTTGCTTCTTCTCTAATGACACTATAGGATAGATCATTTATAAATTTGAGTATGCTATATTCACACAAACGATCCATAACTCTTTCATATTTTAGATTATTGCATTACGACTGTCCGTCCATCGAACAGTTACGTATTGAAAAATATAAATTTAAATATGTCAATGGTTCACTTCAATATTTGATCCCTTAGATATTTTTTATACAAATCAATTTGTTGATTCAGAAAGATAAAGAATAAAAAGTATGCAAAAGTTCTCACACTATTTTACTCAATATTTCTATCAATATCGCATATTATTGTCATAGGATTAAATGAAATTTGTTGCCGATTATTGACTTATGAACTGAATGCAACATTTATCATATATAGTAGAGACTTTAATGATATAATAATTAGGATGAAAATTTTCTGTAGTTAGGAATGATTGAAGATATCTTAACATAGCTATTTGTTTATTTGACAAAAAAATAATACCATCTCACTCACGAATAGAGATGGAACCGCGGTTTCTTAGACGGTTCCTTTTTTCGAAACCGAGACATTTTTTTAAACACACTATTAACAAACCTACTAAAAGATATATTTGCCTGTCATCATTTAAGCTTCCCTCTCCTGTCGAAAACCTATTTTTGTTTCAGAACATCCGATCCTGATGAAATTTTCACCGAATATATATCTGACCTGTGACAGCTGACAGTAAAAATTTGAGCTCGAAATATTGTGTTTTCCAAGAGTTATCCTAACATTAAGGGTCAAGAAGTAGGTGTCCGTGTGTACAAGATTTCTTCTTCAATTCTAATGATACAGACTTCGGGTTGTTTCCAAAATATAACCAAGACTTGCCGCTACAACCTAACAGAGTCGGACTTTTGAAATTTGTGTTGTTTATTTTTTCCGAAAGTTTTTTAAATACGTGGAAAAAGTTACGGCTAGCTTTTCGGAAAACTTTATTTTTCTCAAAAATTAAACTGAAATAAAAACTCCGGCTCTGTCAAGTTGAAGCGCTGAGTCTTAGCTTCATTTTAAAACTACCTAGAGTTTTCTAGCATTTAAAATGGGGGAGAAATCTTCTGCGCACGCACACGTAAAAATGAAAAAATGCATTTCGAGATACGGTAGCGCTAGCGTCTAATGCATATTTTAGGGCTTCTAGTGAAACTGTCATAACTTTTGATTAGAACATCATCCAGAGTTGAGCGATGTCTCATTTTAGTCAGAAATGTTTGCTCTACATCCTAGTCTCATTGATATTATTTTTGGCTTTGTTTTATTATCAGAAGGTGACATTTTTAGAAAGGCAGTTTTTTAAGGCTTTCAAAAAACTTCTAAAAACCTTCATACACCTTCGATAAAGACCAAATAGCTATGGATCCTGATAGTAGACACTATGAGCTATCTGGTAATGTGCTCAGCTCAATATCGACTTTTTTGTTGAAAGATTTTGTGTTCCTGACGGGATGGCTTAAAAGAATCCTTTCGTTTACTATAAAATGAATTCTATTTCGTTGAATTATTACTGCCTGAAAAATTATTTTCCATTTCTAACCTGAGAACCAAGAACCATGATTCTGTTCTAAGTTCGGCACCGAAACCGCGGTTCTATTCGATTCCGAATAAGGAACCGATACCGAGAATCAAACGTCTCTACTCACGATAGATGTTCACGTAAAGATGAAACTATTCTAACCACGAAGACTGATATGTATAATAGAAACTCTTCATCTTGTATTATTGTTTTGTATATTCATAATATCTTTTCTTTAAAGAAATAATTATTAATGAATTTGAAATATGATGATCGTAATGTTTATATTTGCTTTCAAAAATACAATATGTTTGCTTGCATTAATATTGCAACTTTGAAACTAAAAGCAAAAAGAATCTATCTATATAACGCTGAAAATTCAGATGAGTAACAAAACATATGATAGCAAGAAATATCATGTTTTTTTTTTAATCTTATAAAAACGAAAGATGAATCATACATTGTTCTCCTTTCTAATGTTACAATTTTTTCTTTTCTTCGTCTTCTCTTGGTCTGATCATTTCCTTTACATGTTTAGTATATATATGTATATTAAACATGTAGAGTAATCTACACACAAGTTGGCTGTTTTCTTTCTTCTTCGCTATGAATGTCAACGAAGCGTATACAGTGTGATGAATCATATTTCAACATAAACAGAGTTCTTTTTACACATACGGCATAACCAATTCTTTTTGTCCTTGCTCTTTTTTTTTTTCTCCGAAAAATATCGCACGATATAAACAAAAAAAGGAGAGAAATCCTATGTTTTTACTTTTATCTTTAATCTAAAGTCAGAATGCGTTTTGTGTAAATTTTTTTTTTTTCGAGATGAGATGAGAATGATATTACAAGTTAGTTTAAATACTCCTCTTATTTGGTGTAATGAGCATAAATTTTTTCATGATCCTATTAAATTAAATTCTATTTTTCTATTATGTTTTAGATATAAGTAGATGGCAACCGACGATAGTGTTACGTCAGACTTAAATAGCAGTCTAACTGGTACATCTGTTGGTGGTTCACAATCACCAACATCCGTTCAATTAGCTGATATTGATACTTTTACTGCATATTTGAAAAGAGTTTGTGCGCCAATATTAGATTCATCCGTTGAATCACAATATGATATTGATCGATTATTTTCGGATAAACAATCGGTAGATTGTATTAAAAAATTTATTAGTGATATACAATGTCAAACATTGTTAGTATCAAAAACAGCCACTATAAAAGATGATGATGTGGTAACAACGACTAGTAGTGCAACAACTAGTGGTAGTAGTAGTGATGCTGCATCTAATGAAATAATTAATCAACAAGAACAACAACCCTCCTATGTTTTATCAACAGAAGTCCATTATATTAATCCAAAAATGATTAGGTAAGAATAATTGTCTGTAAAACAAGTGAAAATATTAATTTCAATATTATTATGTTCATTTTTTTGTCATTTTTTTTCTCTTCTAGTATTGCAATTTTAAAGCGTGGACAATTGATTGAAAATGATAAAAAATATCATACACAACTACGTATAATGAATCTTGTTGATAGTTCACCGTATGAAACATTACACGCTTACGTTAGTCACGTTATTGGTCCATATTTTAAATCATACGTTAGAGAATCAGGAAAAGGTGAACGGTAAGTCATCAAGAATGTATCACTTGTAATTATCAAAACTGATTGATTACAGGTGTAATTTATTAGCAAACTTCAAAAAAATAGTTCGACAAGAGCTACAATGTCTCTTTTGCTTATATTATTAGATATGAATCATCCAAATTGCATCGATCCTAAAAATATCAAGAAGTTTCGAGATGAAATTCGGACAAGCAATGTGGTCTCATGATTTATATCTCAATCGGAATAAATCCCGATCAGACTATACCATATATCCAGATTAGACTATAAAGTCGATTTAGATTGTATGAGGGATCGGCAATAATACATTGTTCAGAGTACTACACAAATTCAATGAAAATTCACATATTCTGATCGGGATATAAAATATATCCGAAATAGTCTGTTTTTGATTTTTTTAAAAAAAACTTTCATTGTGGAAAAAAAATGAGAGCTGATTACTGGAATTCAAAATCACCATCAGATAGAGCACTTAAAGCTGCGTATGAATGTATGGGGATATCGGTAGAAAAAAAGAAAAGTTTTGTTAATTTGTTGATATAGAGTGCAAGACAGGAATTTTCCTACATAATGGAGGATCTTGACATCGTAGTTGAGAACTTATATTCTAGAATGATCATTCCACATGTTATCACTTAAGTTTACTGAAAGAGACTTTTAAGCCCTTACTTAGAACGATCAGTGAGTGACAATATATATTTTAAATACTTTTTTGAATATGTCTAGTAATATAGCTGTATCCGGATACACCGATATTCTGAACGAGATGTTCAGTGTATCCGGGTAGAGATTCCGATTGGAATGTGGATCATATCCCAATTGAGATATGTATACCCGTTCAGGGGATATCGAGAAAATTATCCCGTTCAGGCCATCAGACATGAAATCAGACTGCTAGAGATGTCTCAAGATTTTATGTTTTTATTCTTTCGAAAAAAGTTAGAATAATTCTATCTACAAGTAGTGTAAAAATAGTGAGCTATTTTTTTTAAAAAATATTCCTTCAGATGAGAGTGTATACTAATATAAACTATTGTCTATGTAATTTTTAGTGATGGCGATAAAATGGCTCCGACAATGGAAAAGAAAATATCCGAATTGGAAATGGGTTTATTGCATTTACAACAAAATATTGAAATACCCGAAGTGAATTTAATCATTCATCCAATTGTTGCTCAAGTTGTACAAAAGTGTGCTGAAGAACAACGTCGTCCAAAAGTCGATGATTTTAATGATTTTTTAACACAAACTGAATTTTTAAATAGTTTACAATCACATGTTAATCGATGGGTTAGAGAAATACAAAAAGTAACAAAATTAGATAAAGATCCAATGAAAGGTATAATTATCTGTTCTGTTTTGTATTTTATTCAACTTTTATCCATGTTCATCATTCTTGTTCTTGTTTGTTTTTAGGTTCAACATTGCAAGAAATATCATTTTGGTTAAATTTGGAACGTTCACTTAATCGTATTCAAGAAAAACGTGATTCATTAGAAGTACAATTAACGTTTGATATATTGAAGACAGCAAAACGTTTTCATGCTACTGTTGGTTTTGATACGGATACAGGATTAAAACCCGCTTTAGAAACGGTAAAAGATCATTCATTGTTAATGAAAGATTTTCCTCTTAATGATTTATTATCCGCCAATGAATTGGATAAAATTCGTCAAGCATTAACAACAATATTTCAACATTTAAAAAAATTAAAAAATTCAAGATATCCGGTGAACAGAGCTGGAAGACTAATGGAAGCTGTATCACAAGATTTAACACAACAAATGTTAAAAGTAAGAGAAGTTTTTTTGTAGATTTGATGAAACTTATCAAAATAGTTAACGATATGTAGCTTCTCATTGGTATAGATAATTTTTATTATATTGAATTTTATTCCTGCATATTTGTCTTAGCTGATAAAAGTTTACTAAAAACGAAATCGAATGTAAAATAACAGTTGATGTTTGATAACAACAGTATCTATTCTGTTTTCTAGGTATTAAATACATATCGTTTAATGCACATATCTTATGTTGATTTTGAACGTATTCTTCAATCGTGTGCCGAAGTATTTACAACATGGGATGATGAATTTGAACGATTACAAACACAAGTACGAGAACAAAGTCGTCGTGCGCGAACAACAGATATGAGAATGGCATGGCGTGTAACATTAGTTCATAAAAAATTACAAGCACGTTTAGAACATATGAAAAAATTTCGAAAACAACATGAACAATTACGCTCGGTTATTGATCGTGTTTTAAGACCAATTACAGAAACAGCACAAGCATTAACAACAGTTCAATCACCATCAGCTGATGATTCAGATTCAACAGCAAATTCAGTTTCAACGACAACATCATCATCCTTGGATATAAATGCCATTGATGAAGTTCATCTAGCTTATGAAAGTTGTAAAGAAATTGATGCATTAGATTTATCAAAAGAAGGTCAAGATGCATGGGAAGCAGCAATGAAACGATATGATGCTCGTATTGATCGTGTTGAAGCACGCATCACCTCATTGTTACGTGATCAATTGGGTACAGCTAAAAATGCGAATGAAATGTTTCGTATTTTCTCACGTTTCAATGAACTATTTGTTCGACAACATATTGGTGGTGCAATTAAAGAATATCAAACACAATTAATTCAACGTGTAAAAGATGACATTGAATCATTACATGAAAAATTTAAACAACAATATGCTCATTCAAAATCTTACAAAATTAGTCGATGCAATGATTTACCACCAGTATCTGGATCCATTATTTGGGCAAAACAAATTGAAAAACAATTGTTAACATATTTGAGACGTGTTGAACATGTACTGGGTAAAGGTTGGGAAAATCATGTTGAAGGTCAACGTCTCAAACAAGATGGTGATAATTTTAGAAATAAACTTAATACTCAACAACTATTTGAAGAATGGTGTAAAACTGTTACACAAAAAAATCATGGTCTCACAGGAAAAATCTTTGCCACTGAAACAACGAGAACACCTAATGGTCCCATTACACGATTGAAAGTCAATTTTTCACCAGAAATTATTATGCTCTCAAAAGAAGTTCGAAACATTCGTAAGTTTCATCTATAAAAAATAAAAGTCCAAAAAAAATAATAATAATCAACAATTATTTTTGATCTTTTGTAGGTGTTTTGGGTTTTCGTGTACCGTTACCAATTATAAATAAATCTCACCAAGCCAATGTTCTTTATCCATTTGCTGTTTCATTAATTGAAAGTGTTCGAACATATGATAATGCCATTGCTAAAGTACTTACTATAAACTATAATCTGTTATCAATTGATCATTTAAAATTGTCTATCTCTTCTTTTAGTTAGCCGATAGTCCATCATCTCAACTTTTAGTTGCTTCTCTCAAACGTGACATACAAAATCATATTAGTGAAGGTGCATCGTACGTTTGGGAATCTTATCGTTTAGAACCATTTGTTCATAAATTTTCGGAAGCTATTTATAATTTTCAAGAACGTGTTGATGAATTAATTAATGTTGAATCTATAATTGAACTTGAATTAAAATCACTTGATACTTGTGTATATAAACAACAATCATTTACAGATATTTTGGCTAAAATACAACGTTGTGTAGATGATTTAAGTTTAAGATTGTATTCAAATTTACAACAATGGGTACAACAATTAGATGAACAAATTGAAAAAAAATTAGCACATCGATTATATCTTGGTAAAAATATATACAATATTTATTTTTTAATTTAAAAAAGAAAAAAAAAACTGAAGTACTGTCGTTCTCGTTTAGGTATTCAACAATGGACAATAGTATTGAAAAAAAATCCAGGCGATGATGATCAACATCAACAACATAAAGGTGATCGATATCATATGGTAAATGGTGAAAGACAGGGATCATTTTATGCTGATGATGATGATTATGGTCAAGTACCAACTACTCCATCAACATTATCACATCCTCAATTAGAATTATTACCCGTTATTAAAACATTATTACATCAAATTCGAACATCAAATCAATTATTATATATTGATCCACCTATTAATGATGCTAGACATCAATTAATTAGTCAATTATATGACTATGAAGGTAGAAATGATAATGATAATTATTTTAATTATATATATATATATAAACTAAATTATTCTTGTAGGTATCGTAATAAATCAAAAACGTATTGCTCATTCACGTTATCAAATTGGTGTTGAAACAGAATCAGAATATAAGACAACATTTAAAAATTTATTAACAAAATTACCAACATCAGCTGGTTCATCAAAAGTTTTAGAAGATGCTTATGAACAAATTGAATTATTAATTCAATTAGCATCTGATTATGTATCAACATGGTTAGATTTTCAATCATTATGGGATTTACAAACAGATCAATTATATGCACGTCTAGGTAAAGATTTACATTTATGGATGCAATGTTTAAATGATATGAAAGATTCACGAAAAACATTTGATACACAAGAAACATTAAAACATTTTGGACCAATTTCAATTGATTATAATAAAGTACAAACAAAAGTAACAATGAAATATGATTCATGGCATAAAGAAGTTTTATCAAAATTTGGACAAATGTTATCAGATGATATGCATGAATTTCATTCTCATGTATCAAAGGTATGTTGAATAATTTTTACAGTTATTTTTTTTTTTTTGAACGAATATATGAAATTGAGATTTATTGATAGAAATTAAGAGTTGAGTAAATCTTCATAAATTTCTGTCATTTGTTTGAATCATCATGTAGTAATATGTATCTTCTTTCTTTTGAAAATTTTGTTAGTACAAAGTATTGGTATTGTTTAATTGTCGATATTGACAATGTAATTTTTGTGCGGCTTGATACGCATCGTTTCCTTTTATTACGACAGCTAAATAGAGTGCACTAACATCCGATCTACAAACAATATCTTGAATTGATATTAACGTATCACATACCAAAAGCATACATTTAAAAAGTTGTGTATCACAATTGGATTTTGTTGACGTACAATTATCGTAGCATAAATCATGTAAATTACAGCAAGGTATCATTTGACTATAACCAACAATTTTCAAAATATTGTCAATATTAAAATAAATTGTTCCACAACCATTTGCTTGACGCGAATGTCGATATAAAATAGAATTTGAGCAATAAACGATCACTAGAAGACTTAAGAAACTATAGATTCTAAGCATAACTTAAAAGATAAAGAAATTTTTATATAATAGATTTATATCGTACAGTTTTTGATTATTTACCGTGTATAATAATCATATCCTTTTTCTAGTAGTACCAAAGTGTCAACAGAGAGATAGAATAAAAAAATTTTTGTTTTTTTTATTGAATAGTAAAAGAAATCAACAGTATAGAAAAAAATTCAACGTTCAATAATTATTTGATGAGCAAATACGTCTTTGTTTGTCTCAAATAATTAAAAATTATACAACTAAGTTATATAAGAACGAAAGAGCAGTTCGATCTAAAATAAAATATTTTAAGAGTATAGTCTCTCTCATTGTTTGAGTTTATGGTGAGGGATAGGCCTGACATTTTTTTGGAAAAAGAAAAAATCGACAAGTTTGTTCTCAGAAGTATTTGGAAAGATCTTCCAAGAGACACCAGATTTTTCATTGGCAACCATTGACCGAAATTTTCGTCTGATTGAACTGAAATTTTTCTTAGAAATACCTAATGATGTTTCCCAGCTATATTTCTTTAAAAATCTTCCTATTGTTCTTTATTTCTGGGTTATAGTAAAAATACGAAAGTCTTTGTGAAGAATCAAGGTTTTTGATTTGAAGAACTCTAGAAGTCCGAGGGTAAAAGTCAGAAACGAAAACGACTAAAAATACATTTAGACTAGGGCTAGGTACTTCTAATATCTCGAAAATTTTCGATAATCGTCGGCAATAAAAAATCTGGTTTCGCTTGAAAGATCTTTTCAGATACTTCTGAGCACAAAGCCACCGAGACACCAAGACGTGATTAGGTTTTCGTAGTAACCTTGGATAAGTGACTTATGTCTTCGTGTCCCGAATCGCCCATCCGACGGCATACTCACTACTTTGTGACGTACAATACACGCTGCTCTGACAACGTTCGCGTAGCTTTTCAGAAAGTTGATACGTGGCTATTGAATATGTATGGGAAGCTCAAGTAATTGGGTGAAAGAACTCGGTGTCAGACTAGTCTTCTATCTAGAGCTATGGTAGATGACTAGTAACGAAATGGATGACCATGTCAGAAGCTTGCTAACTGTAGAGAAGATATCAGACTATTTAAATCGGAAATGGTAGCCTTATGGCGGGGTATTCTTCCTTCCCAGAAACTCATACAACGGCGGGAGATTGTACTCTCAACACCTTCGAAGTAAGAATTCTTTCCACTAGGAAAAATTCTTTTTTTGAGATAAGTTTTCTTCCGTATCAGCCATTTATCCTTTTACTATAAATATATTTAATATAATTGAAAAATATTTTTCCATTTTATACAAAAAGTGCGCTTTCGATACTTTACAGTACCATCAACAGGCTGATATGACTGTTGAATTACGAAGAAAGACATAGGATTATATGCATTAAATAGAGAGAAAGAGAGAATAGTAAAAATAAAATAAAATCAGTTTTTTCTTTTTAGTTTTATACTGGTATTTTCTAGACTGCCTAATCAAATATCATCGTCTTCGATGAGACGTTATTGTAGACTCACTTATTTTATTCATAGGAACAAAAGTGTCTCTTTTATCAACCTTCTGATTTTATTTCTCTCGTATGCCAATGGCTCATTGGCTCGTCTAGATTTAATGTATGATTGTTTTGATTGACCTATAAAGAGATACTTAACTAGAAGAAAAAACAGTTTTAGGCAAATCTTTTCAGGTTTTTGATGAAAGTTGTCATTGCTACATAGTACTCAATGTCTAACATCAGTAGATCAGATCATTCAGATTTGGATTAGGCTTGGACATCAACTTTTCTATGATTTCTTCCTTTGTATTTACGTGAGAAGCTACTGTCGGGTATTTGATACTTTCGAAAACCATACCTTACGGTTGTAATATCGAATTTGAATTCGTTTTTAAATTCGAAACGAATTTTTTTTAATTCACTTCCGAGATAATAGAAACAAATATTTGTCTCGAATTTATCGTTAGATTTGGTTTAAGCTTTTTAATCTTGAACCAGAATGAAATCGAGAATATAAATTCCCATTATATCATTCAGAAACTTAAACTATCAAAATACAAAATCAATTCTTGACGAAGTTAGAATCGTTGGATTTGTCAATCGGTTTTAAGTCGTCACAGTCATTCAATTTTATTGTATATTTTCTCTTTTATTTTATTTTGATTACTCTCTCTTTCTCTCTATCTAAATGCATACAATCATCTCTCTCTCTTCATAATTTAACAGTCATATTAACCTGTTGATGGTACTGTGCAGTATGGAAAGCTGTAAAATGAAGAGAATACTTTTCAAATATATTAAATATACTTAGTTTTAAATGTAAAAATGTAAAAAACGCTAATATCTTTGCTATAAAATTTGTCATAAAGATCATTCAAACGTTCGAATAATGTGGATGTTACACTTTCCAATTAGTCCCACAAAACGACATATTTCAAAAATTCTGCTATTCATTATATGTAATAGAATTTTTGATACAAGAAAATATAGTAGAGGTAAACAATGAGAAGTGAAAAACATGACTTTTTTAAATTGGTAGAGGTGAACAATGTTATAATAGATGGAAATTGCTATATGTAGAGATATTTCACTCAATCGATTTTTTTAATCTTTCGTTTAATTGCAATTGATTTAGAAACTGACGAAGGAATGTTCCTAATTGTCAAATGGCTTTCGAGCCGAAACCTAGGGGACTATAGGTAGTCGACCATGCTGATATCAGCGCGACACGAGCCGCTAGGCCTCCAGAGACTGGTTTTCTGGAAAACCAGTTTTTCAGAAACTAACCGAAACTTTTCTTAATGAGGTGTAATTGTAGCCCGCACATTTCTGATTAAAATGAGACATCTCCCAACTCTATACGACCTTTCTTTGCAAAGTTATGGAATTTACAAGAAAAGCCCTATATGTTGATTATCAGCTCAAAGATACAGAAATAAGAAGACTTAAATTTAGGGCTTTTCTTGTAAATTCCATAACTTTGCAAAGAAAGGTCGTATAGAGCTGGGAGATGTCTCATTTTAATCAGAAATATGCGGGCTACAATTATGCCTCATTAAGAAAGGTTTCGGTTGTGTTTTAGAGTTTCTGAAAAACTGGTTTTCCAGAAAACCGGTCTCTGGAGGCCTAGCGGCTCGTGTCGCGCTGATATCAGCATGGTCGATTATAGTCCACTAGGTTACGGCTTGAAAGCGATTTGACAGTTGTGAATGTTCCCCCGTGAGAACTAGTAAAGAGACGTTCTATTTTAGTGATACTGATTAATAAGAATTTGTTGTGTATTTTAGGCTCGTAATGATTTAGAATCACAATCGTTGGAAGCATCAACCACGGCTGAAGCCGTTGGTGTTATTACCTATGTTCAGAATTTAAAACGTAAAATGAAAACATGGGAAAAACAAGTAGATGAATATAAAGAAGCACAAAAAATATTAGAACGTCAACGTTATCAATTTCCATCAAATTGGCTCTATGTTGATAATATCGATGGTGAATGGGGTGCATTTAATGAAATTTTACAACGAAAAAATTCATCAATACAAAATCAAGTCGTCACATTAAGAAATAAAATTGTACAAGAAGATAAAATTGTTGAAACAAAAACAAATGATTTATTACAAGAATGGGAACGTGATAAACCAGTTGCTGGACATTTTAGGTAAATATTAAATGTAATTATCTTAATAAGAATATGAAAAAATAATAAATTTTTCTATTTTTAATTAAGTCCAAATGATGCTTTACAACAATTATCAACATATGATTCAAAATTACTTCGTTTAAAAGAAGAACGTGATAATATTATACGTGCTAAAGAAGCTTTAGAATTAAATGAAACTATTTCACAAGAATCACTTAAAAATCGTGAACGTGTACAAGTAGCTATTGAAGAATTATCTGATTTAAAAGGTGTTTGGCAAGAATTATCATCAATATGGAAACAAATATCAGAATTAAAAGATAAACAATGGATGTCTATCCAACCAAGAAAATTAAGATCATCATTAGAAGAATTATTACAACAATTACAAAATTTACCACAACGATTAAGACAATATGAATCCTATCAACATGTTAAAAATGTATTACAAGGATATTTAAAAGTAATTAATAAATTAAATTTTATTATAATTGTGTGTGTATGTGTATATATATTCTATTTATTTAGGTTAATATTTTGGTTGTTGAATTAAAATCTGAAGCATTAAAAGAACGTCATTGGAAACAATTAATGCGTCGTATGTCAGTTTTATGGAATTTAAATGATATGACATTAGGACAAATATGGTCTATTGATTTACAACGTCATGAACCAATAATACGTGAAATAATTACCATTGCTCAAGGTGAAAAAGCATTAGAAGAATTTTTAAAACAAGTTAGTGAAATATGGAAAACATATCAATTAGAATTAATATCATATCAACAAAAATGTAAAGTAATTCGTGGATGGGATGATTTATTTAATAAAATTAAAGAACATATTAATTCAATAACAGCAATGAAATTGAGTCCTTATTTTAAAGGTAAATAATAAATTGAAATTTTATTTTTAATATTTTTGTTTTTCTTTTGTGTTCTAGAATTTGAAGAAGAAGCATCCGTTTGGGAAGATCGTTTAAATCGTATAAATACCCTATTTGATGTTTGGATTGATGTTCAACGTCGTTGGGTCTATCTTGATGGTATTTTTGGTTCATCCGTTGATATTAAACATTTATTACCAGTTGAAACATCAAGATTTCAAAGTGTATCAACAGAATTTTTAGGTTTAATGAAACGTGTACAAAAATCACCATTGGTCATGGATGTATTAAATGTTCAAGGTGTTTTAAAAACCTTAGAACGTTTAGCAGAATTATTGGCTAAAATACAAAAAGCACTTGGTGAATATTTGGAACGTGAACGAGCATCATTTCCAAGGTAAAAGTTTCTTTCTTTTTTTTTTAAATTAAATATTTAATTCATTTTTAAATATAAATTAAATTATAATTTATAGATTTTATTTTGTTGGTGATGAAGATTTATTAGAAATTATTGGTAATTCAAAAAATATTGTTCGTTTACAAAAACATTTTAAAAAAATGTTTGCTGGTATTCATTCTATACAATTAAATGAAGATAGTACAATTGTTGAGGGTATAATATCGAAAGAAGGAGAATATGTTCAATTTTTAACACCGGTAAACATTATTGAACATCCAAAAATAAATGAATGGTTAACATTAATTGAAACAGAAATGAGAAATACATTAGCATTATTATTAGCGCAATCTGTACAAGAATCACGTGGACAACAACAACAAATTGAACGTGAACAATATTTAAAATGGTTAGATAAATATCAAGCACAACTTGTTACTCTATCAGTACAAATACAATGGTCAGAAAATGTTGAATCAGCATTAAAACAAATTGAACAATCAAATAAACCAGTAATTTATTTTTAAAAATTCGAAAACTATTCATTTTTTACTTGTTGTTGTTTGTTTGTTTTTGTAGTCGATGGAACCACTTGAACGTGTTTTATCTACAATTGAAATGACATTAAATGTTTTAGCTGATGCTGTTCTTCATGAACAACCACCTGTTCGTCGACGAAAATTAGAACATTTAATTATTGAATATGTACATCAACGGGATGTAATAAGAACATTAATTCAACAAAAATGTTTATCAAATAAAAATTTTTTATGGTTAGCACAAATGCGTTTTTATTTTGATCCAAAACAATCGACAATACTTCAACAACTTACTATTCAAATGGCTAATGCTAAATTTCATTATGGTTTTGAATATTTGGGAATACAAGAAAAACTTGTACAAACACCTCTAACAGATCGATGTTATTTAACAATGACACAAGCTCTTGAAGCTCGATTAGGTGGTTCACCATTTGGACCAGCTGGAACTGGTAAAGAAAAATATTTTCTCTCTCTTTCTCTTTCATAGAATTTGACATTGTTTTCTTTTAGGTAAAACGGAATCAGTTAAAGCGTTAGGCAATCAATTGGGTCGTTTTGTACTTGTCTTTAATTGTGATGAAACGTTTGATTTTCAAGCAATGGGTCGAATATTTGTCGGTCTCTGTCAAGTGGGTGCATGGGGTTGTTTCGATGAATTTAATCGTTTAGAAGAACGAATGTTATCAGCTGTTTCACAACAAATTCAAACTATTCAAGAAGCACTCAAAGAATTAACTAATCCGGAACGTAAATCATCTGAAATTAAAATTGAACTCGTCTCAAAACAAGTGACTGTTAGTCCAGATATGGCCATTTTTATTACTATGAATCCGGTAAGTAAATCAAACTGGGCATAGTTTCAATCAACTTAAATAATTGTTCGGATGGTTAACTACTGACTCATTACTGAAGGGAGTCTAAAAAGCTTCCGATGTCTTTTGTGCGCATAACAGAGGTGAGCTCGATCTCCGACTCTGACAAAATTATTTTTATTTCGCTCCAACAATTCTTCATTATGTAGGTGTTTTGAACACCTTTACTCGCTACGAGTACTCACACTCAGAAACTGTTTTGTACTGCTGATTGCACATTTTATTACGAATGTCTATAAAGAAAGGTTTTTATCACAAAAAAGCAATACTTGAGAATCTGTTTATTATTCACCCGAATGTACGTACTACAACAATGTCATTTAGTGTTTGAGCGTTCAGATTTGTTCGCCGTTGAGTAATTATTAGTTCGGCAGCTGATGATGCCGATATAGCTAACACGTTTGTGAAAACTTCCATATTCAAAAACAAAAAAAGGAAGTTTGAAGTTTATTTTTATACGAGGTTGGAAGGAAGCACTTTTTTTGGAGTGTTTATATCAGCCATTTTAGATGTTTGTGTCAAACGCTTATCTGAACACATTTTGGAGTGTTTGTATCATCCATATGGGTGGTTTTGTCATCCAAAAAACGCTTTTCTAAGCACATTCAGGGATGTTTCAGTCGTCCAGTAGGATGTTTGTGTCATTTTTATTGATTTTTTTACCTGACGAAAATGAGACGTCCTTGTGATGACACAAACACTCATCTGGGCGATACAAACATCCTTAAATGTGCTTAGAAAAGCGTTTTTAGACGATACAAACACCCATATGGATTATACAAATACCCCAAAATGTGTTCAGATAAACGTTTTTCGCTGACGCAAACACCCCATATGGATGACATAAACGCCTTTTTTTGGCGTAAAGAGACGATTTGGGCGATACAAACACCCCCAAAAAAGACTAAATACGTATTTATTGTAAGGAATTTGTGTGATTCCTCCAATAAAATTTTAAGCTAAAATAGTTGTTTAAAAATATAGGAAATATTCAACTGTTTGTTCCGAAGAAGCAACACTGACAAGCTTTTTTAGTGTCAGTAATAAAAGTAGAAAACATTTTGATCAATGTTCTTCCCAAAAATTCAAAGGATTGATTATAACTTCACTACATGGACAATATGTCTCGCTAACTTTGTCTTCGTCTCTACAAAAAAGTTGTTTCACTCTGGAGAGAATTCGTGCATCATGCGTTCTCTGTCCATTTCTAGCACAAATCAAAATGGTCATACTTGTTTGCATTTGTACTAGAAAATTTAAACGATTAATAATCGTAATCGGTGCATGTCTATATCAAAGTATCTTTGTGTATTATATATGTTTTAATATTGTAGGATTATGCTGGTCGATCAAATTTGCCTGATAATTTGAAAAAACTGTTTCGTAGTTTGGCCATGACACAACCAGATCAAATTCTAATTGCTCAGGTCATGTTATATTCACAAGGATTTCGTCTTGCTGAAAAATTAGCTCAAAAAATTGTTCCATTTTTTAAATTATGCAATGAACAATTATCGAATCAATCACATTATGATTTTGGTTTGAGATCATTAAAAAATGTTTTAGTTATGGCTGGAAATATAAAACGAGAAAAAATACAAAAAGTACGTGAAGAAAAACGAGCAAATAATGAACAAGTTGATGAGGGAAAAATAGCTGAAACTTTACCAGAACAAGAAATATTAATTCAATCTATCATGGAAAGTTTTGTACCACGTCTTGTTGCTGAAGATTTACCATTATTATCAAGTTTATTGTCGGATGTATTTCCTGGTGTGAAATATAATCGTGGTGAATTGAAAGAATTAAAAGAAGAAATTGTTAAAGTTTGTGATGAAATGAATTTGGTTTGTAGTGATAAAGATCAATCAGGATCATTGTGGTTAGAAAAAGTTTTACAATTGTATCAAATAACAAATTTAAATCATGGTTTAATGATGGTTGGACCACCTGGCAGTGGTAAATCATCGGCATGGCGTGTCCTATTAAAAGCATTAGAACGTTTAGAAAAAGTGGAAGGTGTTGCTCATGTTATTGATCCAAAAGCCATATCAAAAGATGCTCTTTATGGTACATTAGATCCGAATACACGTGAATGGACAGATGGTTTGTTTACACATGTTTTACGTAAAATAATTGATAATGTTCGTGGAGAATTAACCAAACGTCAATGGATTATTTTTGATGGTGATGTTGATCCTGAATGGGTTGAAAATTTAAATTCAGTTTTGGATGATAATAAATTATTAACATTACCCAATGGTGAACGTTTAAATTTACCAACAAATGTACGAATTATGTTTGAAGTTCAAGATTTAAGATATGCAACATTGGCAACAGTGTCACGATGTGGAATGGTCTGGTTTAGTGAAGATGTTCTATCATTAGGTATAATATTGCATATTACAGTGTAATTTGTTTGACTATTTATCTCTCCTCTATTTAGATATGATATTTGAAAATTATTTTCGTAAAGTAAAAAATGTTCCTGTCAGTGGTGAAGAAAGTGGTGAAGATGTTGATTTTAAAATACCATCAAGCGATGTTTCGACATCATCGCCGACGACCGATGATAGTCCATCACAATCGCCCACAATTAATTTACAGCGTGTACTTGCCGCTATTTTACGTCCCTCTTTTCTTCAAGATGGTCTTGTTATTAAAGCTCTTCAGTATGCTCTTCAACAAGAACACATTATGGATTTTACACGTTTAAGAGCGTTAAATTCATTATTTTCAATGTTAAATCAAGCAATACGAAATATATTGAGATATAATCATACACATCAAGATTTTCATATGGCACAACAACAAATGGAATTATATATAACACGATGGCTTATTTATTCATTACTGTGGTCATTTGTTGGTGATTGTAAATCAAAAATAAGGTAAGATTTTGAATCATTATTCATTAAATCAAATTTACTAATATTTAATACATATTTTTTATTTAGATACGATTTTGGTGAATATTTACGTGCTATAACAACGATTCAAATGCCAACAAATCCTGCCATACCTGTTATCGATTATGAAGTAACAATGGATGGTGAATGGTCACAATGGATATCGAAAGTGCCTCTTGTCGAAATAGAAACACATCGTGTAGCATCACCCGATTTAGTTATACCAACAATTGATACTATTCGACATGAAACATTATTAAATACTTGGTTAGCTGAACATAAACCATTAGTTTTATGTGGACCACCTGGTTCAGGAAAAACAATGACATTATTTTCAGCATTAAGAGCATTACCAGGTAAGAATATAGTTGTAGATATGACTTTCTTTTTTCTACTATATCATATTTTTTCTTCAAATTATAGAATATGAAGTTGTCGGATTAAATTTTTCATCTGCAACTACACCCGAATTAATGTTAAAAACATTCGATCATTATTGTGAATATCGTCGTACTCCAAATGGTGTTGTTCTCTCACCAATTCAATTAAATAACTGGATTATTGTATTTTGTGATGAAATTAATTTACCTGATGAAGATAAATATGGTACACAACGAATCATTTCATTCATACGACAAATTCTTGAACATGGTGGATTTTATCGTACATCAGATCAACAATGGGTCAAATTAGAACGTATACAATTTGTTGGCGCTTGTAATCCACCGACGGTACGTTGATAGAATATTGATTGAACAATTAAATTGATTACTCTTTTTATATAGGATCCTGGTCGAAAACCGCTATCACATCGATTTTTAAGACATGTTCCGGTTATCTATGTCGATTATCCAGGTGAACTATCATTGAAACAAATCTATGGTACATTTAATCGTGCAATGTTAAGAATCATTCCACCATTGAAACCGTACGCTGATGCGTTAACAAATGCTATGGTCGAATTTTATCTACTATCACAAGTAAGTTGATATGTTATGTTTATTAACGTATTGTGTATCCATTCTATTATATGGTTAACAATTGTTGAAAACAGTGTCTCATTAGAAAATGTAATTGTATTACATTTTTTTCTTAACTATTTTAGGAACATTTTACTGTCGATATGCAACCTCATTATATTTACAGTCCACGTGAAATGACACGTTGGGTTCGTGGTTTGTACGAAGCACTTCGACCATTGGAAACATTAACTATTGAAGGTTTAGTTCGTTTATGGGCACATGAAGCATTACGGTTATTTCAAGATCGTCTTGTTCAACCAGAAGAACGTCAATGGACTGAAGAACATATTGATATGATTGCTCGTAAACATTTTATTAATATTGATTTTCATACAGCACTTGCACGTCCTATACTCTATTCAAATTGGTTATCAAAAGATTATTTACCAATTGAACAAGAAAAATTACGTGAATATGTTAAAGCAAGATTGAAAGTATTTTATGAAGAAGAATTAGATGTACAATTAGTATTATTTAATGAAGTATTGGATCATGTTTTAAGAATTGATCGAGTATTTCGACAACCCCAAGGACATGTATTATTGATTGGTGTTAGTGGAAGTGGAAAAACGACATTATCAAGATTTGTAGCATGGATCAATGGATTAAATGTATTTCAAATTAAAGTACATAATAGATATTCATCGGCCGAATTTGACGAAGATTTAAGAAATGTTCTTAGACGAAGTGGTTGTAAAGGAGAAAGAATTGCGTTTATACTAGACGAATCAAACGTAAGTATTCAACGTTTAATAATTGTTAACATTCATCTTTAAAAAGGATATCTAAATACTTTTTGAAACTTTTTTTTTTCTATTGAAAATAAAATGTTGAAATACATTTTGTCATGAAAACAAAATGAATCATTTTAAAATGTTTGTTTAGATGTTGGATTCATCATTTTTGGAACGTATGAATACTCTATTGGCAAATGGTGAAGTGCCCGGTTTATTTGAAGGTGATGAGTTTACAACATTAATGACACAATGTAAAGAAGGAGCACAACGTGATGGTCTCATGTTAAATTCACAAGAAGAACTTTACAAATGGTTTACAAATGAAGTAATTAAAAATTTACATGTTGTATTTACTATGAATCCATCATCTGAAGGTCTCAAAGATCGTGCATCAACATCACCAGCTCTATTTAATCGTTGTGTACTCAATTGGATGGGTGATTGGTCATTACAAGCTCTACATCAAGTGGGAAAAGAATTTACACAAAATATCGATCTAGAATCATCATCATCCACATCAAAGTAAGTTATCATCTATTTTATTAAATATATAATTTCTTTAATCATCTTTATTTAGAACACAAAATGATCGAGAAGCAGTAAATCAAGCATACGTCTATGTTCATCAAACACTTCAACAAGCGAATATTAAAATTCAAAAGAAAGGTGGTCGTACAATGTTTATTACACCACGACATTTTATTGATTTTATTAATCATTTTGTTAAACTTTATCGTGAAAAACGTTCTAATTTAGAAGATGAACAATTACATTTAAATAAAGGTTTAGATAAAATTCGTGAAACAATGAAAGATGTTGAACAATTACAAAAATCATTGGCCATTAAACGAAATGAATTAGAACAAAAAAATACAGCAGCTAATTTAAAATTAAAAGATATGATTAAAGATCAACAAGAAGCTGAAAAACAAAAATTAACATCACAAGAATTACAAACAAAATTACAACATCAATTAGCTGAAATAGCAACAAATAAACAACAAGTACAATCACAACTTGAAAATGTTGAACCGGCTGTTATTGAAGCACAACAAGCAGTTAAAGGAATTAAACGTCAACATTTAGTAGAAATTCGAAATTTACCAAATCCACCACCATTAGTTAAATTAGCATTAGAAGCCATTTGTTTACTATTAGATCAAGAGACAACCGATTGGAAAATGATTCGAGGTGTAATTATGAAAGATGATTTTATTAATACAATTATACAATTTAAAACAGAAAATGTCAGGTAGAATATATTTTAATTTCTTTTTAAATTAAGTTATATAAAAATTTAACTCATTTATTTTTTTTTCTTAGTGGTGATGTACGAGAAAAAATGCAATCACGTTATATTAGTAATCCTGAATTTACATATGATAAAGTGAATCGTGCATCACAAGCTTGTGGTCCAATGGTTAAATGGGCTCGTGCACAATTAGAATATGCCGATATGTTACATCAAGTTGAACCATTAAGAAATAAATTACTTGGATTAGAAAATGATGCATCATTAAATAAACAAAAAGCGGATGATCTTATTGGTAAAATTGAAAATTTAGAACGTTCAATAACAAAATATAAATCTGAATATGCTGAATTAATATCAGAAGCACAAGCAATTAAAACAGATTTAAATACTGTGGAAGCAAAAGTTGATCGTAGTGTAGCACTATTAAAGTCACTTCTCAATGAACAACAACGTTGGGAACAAGCATCTGAATCATTTCAAACACAAATGTCAACAATGGTAAAAATACATTGTTAGAAATGATTAGTACATATTTTTATGTATTTTTATTGTATTTTTCTAGGTTGGTGATGTGTTACTATGTTCAGCATTTATGGCTTATGCCGGCTACTATGATCAAATTATGCGTCAACAATTATTTAATACATGGACAAATCATTTAGAACAATCGAAAATTAATTATCATAAAGGTTTAGCAAGAGTTGAATATTTATCAAATGCTGATGAACGATTAAGATGGCAAGCTAATTCATTACCTATTGATGATTTATGTACAGAAAATGCCATTATGTTGAAAAGATTTAATCGTTTTCCGTATGTATTTTAAGAGAACGTTATAAACATATCATAATGTAAATATTCGACTATTTCTAGATTAATTATTGATCCAAGTGGACAAGCAGCCGAATTTATTATGCACGAATATAAAGATAAAAAAATAACGAAAACAAGGTAAACATTTGAATAAATAATTTTTAAAGTTGTTATTTTTTGAATTTTTCACTCTATTTTTTTTTTCTAGCTTTTTGGATGATTCATTTCGTAAAAATTTGGAATCTGCTCTACGTTTTGGTAATCCACTTGTTGTTCAAGATGTCGAACGTTATGATCCGATTTTAAATCCAGTTCTCAATCGTGAAGTTCGTCGTACTGGTGGTCGTACGCTAATTACTATCGGTGATCAAGATATCGATTTATCACCGGCATTTGTTATTTTCTTGTTTACACGTGATCCGTCTGTTGAATTTCCGCCAGATATTTGTTCACGTGTAACATTTGTTAATTTTACTGTGACACGTGCCAGTTTACAATCACAATGTTTAAGTCAAGTACTTAAACAAGAACGTCCAGATGTTGATGAAAAAAGACGGGATTTATTGAAATTACAAGGTGAATTTCAACAACGTTTAAGACATTTAGAAAAAGATCTATTAGAATCGTTAAATAATGTCAAAGGACGAATTTTGGATGATGATACAATAATAACACGTTTGGAGACATTGAAAAAAGAAGCAGCTGATGTGACGAAAAAAGTACAAGACACAAACCAAGTTATGAAAGAAATTGAAACCGTATCAAAACAATACTTTACATTATCAGTTGCTTGTTCAAGCATCTATTTCACCATGGAATCATTAAATCAGGTAATATATTCTGCATACCTACTATCCCAGGTCAATGGTTACGACAACCATATGCGGTGAATTACAACCGTATACGGTAACGTAACACACCGTAAATGGACATAACTTTGACGTAATCCTATGCTCCGTAACACTGTAGCCTTCATCTAGGCTACTATCGTTTTGACACTTGGTGAAATTTTTTTTCAATTTTTTGTTGTTAAGATTCACTTTCTCTATCAATATTCGTTACAATTTTTCTTGGAAATGTTCAACGCTACTTTTACTGAAAATGTTCACTTAACAAATAAAACCGATTACAATGAACGATTACAAATCATCACATTCGATTTATTTCAAATGATTTATACTCGTATTGCGTTGGGTATGTTACATGAAGATCGAATTGTTCTTGCCCTACTATTAGCTCGAATATATTTGAAATCAATTCAAACTGAACCAAATTATGAAGACGAATTTGATATACTCATACGTGGAAATTCTGATACGACATTGGATGAAAAACAAGTGCAACAACAACGACAACAGCAACAATCAAAAGCATCAGAAGGTTTAACAGCGAAACAAACAGAATCAATGCTAAAATTATCAAAATTACCTGCTTTTAAATCTCTTCAATCACAAGTATTATCGAATCCAGATTTTCCGAAATGGATTGATGAAATAAATCCTGAATTAAAAGTACCGCAATTATGGTTAGAATTAACACCATTAACAAATATTGGAAAACAATTTCATCGATTACTTATGGTACAAGTATTTCGACCTGATCGTCTATTGTCAATGGCTCGTATTTTTGTTTCGACCGTATTTGGTGAGCAATTTTTATCAGAAGCTGATCAAGTACTTGATTTGGGACCGATTGTTGAAAAAGAAATTCAATCAACAAAACCTATACTCATGTGTTCTGTACCCGGGTATGATGCGAGTGGACGAGTTGAAGATTTGGCAACACAAATGAATCAACAAATTATATCGATCGCTATGGGATCAGCAGAAGGTTTTAGTCAAGCTGAAAATGCTATTGCAGCGAGTGCACGAAATGGACGATGGGTACTGTTGAAAAACGTTCATCTGGCACCACAATGGTTAATTACATTAGAAAAACGTTTACATGCCATGCCATCTCATCAATCATTTCGTCTATTTCTATCCATGGAAATTCATCCAAAATTACCATCGAATTTGTTACGAATGGGTCGAATATTTGTTCATGAACCAGCACCGGGTATTAGAGCAAATTTACAACGAACATTTAGGTAAGCTGATTCTACTTAAGTATTTTCCAAGATTTTTTAATATACTTCAAGCTGGAGAGTTCGGGTTTGTTTTATTTTAAATCAGACACCTAACTACATGGGCTGACCAGCGCCGATTTTTCAGTTAAGCCTTTGTTGGTTTTCCAGGCAAACAACAACCTCCGAAACCCGAAAAATCCTTCCGAGTTTTCTAAAAATTTTCAATTTGACAGATCTTCAACTTGTCCATGTAGTTTCTTTTCCTCTTTTAAACAAAAAAAGAATAAACTCTACGACAAACTCCTATTAAAAATCTTGGGAAATACTTCAGGTGTAACTCTTATACAGTGAAAACGCTGTATTAAACGCTGTATCAAATACTCAATTTTAGGACTTGTAGGAAAATGCCTGTAGAATTTTGATGCAAGATCATTACAGAGTTGTGCGAGGTCTTATTTTGATCAGAAACGTTTGCTCTACAAATCTGTGTGTTCAGAAAAATTTTAATTGCATAAGGGGCTCTTAAATTAACACATAATGCATGCTTATTTTCTTTTTTATTTAGTACAATTCCTACTCAACGTATGAATCGTATTCCGAATGAACGTTCACGAATATATTTCCTTTTGGCATGGTTTCATGCTATTATTCAAGAACGATTACGATACGTTCCATTAGGTTGGTCAAAAATGTACGAATTTACCGAAGCCGATTTGAAATGTGCATTGGATACCATTGATACATGGTTAGATATGATATCTATGGGTCGAACAAATTTACCGTTAGATAAAATACCATGGGAAGCATTAAGAACATTAATGTCACAATGTATTTATGGTGGAAGAATTGATAATCCATTTGATCAACGATTGTTAAATGCATTTTTAACAAAATTATTCTCATTAACATCACTTTCATCCGATATGAAATTGATTGTCGAAGAACAAGATGATGGTAAGTAATGTTTGTTGTACTCTCACTATGTCTTATCGTTCTATTTTTTACAGCTTTAACTCGTGGTAAACAAGGACAATCTCCTGTTATTTTAACAATGCCTGACGGTATTCGTCGTGAACAATTCGTACAATGGATTGAAAATTCTCTAAAAAATCTTATTCAACAACCATCATGGCTCGGATTACCGAATAATGCTGAAGTTGTTTTATTAACAAATCGTGCTCGAGAAACTCTAACAAAATTATTAAAAATGTCATCGGTTATGAATCAAGATGAAGATGATGAAGAATTAGATATCATCTTTTCAACATCAGTAAATGATGAAAAAGATTCAAAACAAAAATCTAAATCAAAAATTGGTGTTGAAGAGGGTGATACACGTCCAACATGGATGAAACAATTGGATGTATCATGTAAAACATGGTTAAAATTATTACCTGATAAAGTGACACAAATGCGACGTACACAAGAAAATATTAAAGATCCATTATTTCGATTTTTTGAACGTGAAGTAAATATTGGTGCAAAATTATTACAAGTAATACAATCGGATTTAAAAGATGTTTGTAATGTTTGTGAATTGAAAAAAAAACAAACAAATTATCATCGAAATTTAATTAGTGAACTTATTCGAGGTATATCACACATACACTTAATTGACATTAAAATAATAAATTATAAAACATCTTTTTTTAGGTGTTATTCCTCAATCATGGAAACGTTATACTGTACCAAAAACATTGACTGTTGTACAATGGATAACCGATTTTAGTGATCGTGTTAAACAATTAGAAAAAATATCAACAATGGTAACTGAGCAAGGTTATAAATCCTTAAAAGTATGTTTAAAATAAAAATTTTAATTTTATCTATTATTTAATAATAAAACTGTTTGTTATTCATTTTAGGCTTGTTCAATTTGGTTAGGTGGTCTATTTACACCTGAAGCCTATGTGACAGCAACTCGTCAATGGGTAGCACAAATTAGTATGTGGTCACTTGAAGAATTAGTTTTAGAAGTTGTTATTCAAGATTCAAAAGATAGTACATCACCATTATTAGATGATTGTAGTTTTGCTGTTACCGGTTTACGTTTACAAGGTGCACAATGTAAATCAAATAAAATTAATTTATCATCATCAATATCAACGGAATTAAATTTAACAATATTTAAATGGATACGTAGTCCACCAGGAACAATAAAACAACATCAGAATCGTATAACATTGCCCGTTTATTTAAATCCAACACGTTCTGAATTATTATTTACAATTGATTTAGAACCAATTGATTCATCGTTAACAGAATTTGATTTTTATGAAAGAGGTGTGGCTATTGTAACATCACAAATTGCTTAGCAAAAAAAAAAATATATTGATACTTTTCATTTAAATGAATTTTACTCGTGTGTGTGTGTGTCTCGTTTTTCTTTTATTCTTATCAATGATTATTGGTATGTAGGTATCAATTTTTAAACAAATAAAATTTTTTAGTAGAAAGCAAGTGAACACATCATAGTGAAAAATGATATTTCTCGTGGTAGTTACAATAAATCGATAGGAAAATAAATTGTAAATAATTTGTGAAAATCAATTGTACTCGATAAGACATGTTAAATGATCTGTTTTGATTTATTTACTCTGATGAATTATATGTAATAAATTTAATTAGCATAAATTATCTAATTTTATTGATTTAGTACACTTTTGATAAATATAAAAAGTAGAAATAAAATAGAACATTTATTTTGAATATTTAATTCAACTAGTAAAATATAAATTAAATACAAATAATTCTGACATTGACATTTTCATTTGTTTGCTCTATTTCCTTCCACAAAATACACCTGACGTAATAGAGTTTATATAAATAAAGCATTCAACTATATCTGTTAAGAAAATGATGATTGATTGTCTCACTAATGTGGATCTGTGAACTGTTAGATAGTGAGAGGTTATCTTATGGCTTGTCATAAAAAGGCAAAATACCATCTGTTTAAGGATTAAACAGTTCTAATTTCGTTCTTATCAACAAAAAGCCCATAAATAAATTTGTTGATAAGATTTACATACTTACCAAAACTGTAAATGTACGAACAAAATCTTTTGTAAAATGTTCGTATAACAATAGTTCACATCCTTTTGAATAGAATTGATAATTAATTCTTTCTATTAGTTTTCAGGACTATTTGAACTAGAATCGTTTCATTCATAAACTGAGACTGAACAATAAAAGAAAAAAAAATTGTCAAAATAGAAGACATAAATGAATGGAAAGTCGGTAAGAAGGTAATTAATATAATGTCACTATGATGTACTCGATGGTTGACTCAAGACTTAATATTATCTTCTCTATATGCTTTCCGATCTAGTGTTTCAATATTAATTTTCGAAAATAAACGGTATTCAGATATAATAGATCATGAAGTTTTTATACTTTTTATATTTTTAGATTCATATAACATACATACATCATTAACAAACGTAAAAGAATCTTTAAGTATCTTCATTCAATCAAGAACATACGTACTTTCTAATAATAACGGCATATTTTCACAATTTGATAAAAATGAGGTGTTATCTTTTGTTAATCTGTAGAGATTCATACAAGACACGATAGAGAGTTCATGTGTTTTTGATCATTAACTGATGGAAAAAATGGCTGCTTATTTAAGTATATACAATAAGTTCATCTACGAAATCATTTATTTCAACAATTTATTAACCTTTTTGAGCATCTCGCGATACTCAAGAAGACAAAGTTTTATTCACGTGAACAACAAGGTCAACGTATCATCTAATGTATGGTTTGCACGTGGTCTTGAACTCTTTATTTTAAAAACACAATTTATAACTTAGTCACGTATATAACTATCAGGATTACGCAAGGAATTCATATTACCATAGAGAACAAAGTGAAATGCTTAAAATGGATAATGAATCGTTCAATTTTTGATAAATTCAACCCCGTTTGTCTTCGTCTTCTCTTGTGTTATATATACAAAATTTTAAAAATGGCGAATTCAAGAATAGCAATCACATCTAAGCAGGAATCAAATCACATCTAAAGATGATAAGGATAAGATGTGCTTAATACATTTATTTTGAAAAAGTTTGTGCTATTTGAAGAAATATTTCAACAGTATTTCATTCGACAGAGTTTTTCAGAATTATAAGTACGGAAAGTGGAAAAAATCTACGATTATCTCTGTTTAAGAAAATTTCTCTTTATCCCTTTGAGTCCCAAATTTTTTTTTGCTGATTTGAATGTAATTCGTAATTCTCAATTTTCTCCACCAGAACTCAACTCTTATGCAATAAAAATATCACATTCGGAATCAGGATGAAAAAATGAATCGACTGATGTGTATCCATATCCTATTCGAGTACTTTAGTTTTTTTCGAATTTTCACATTGAAAAATCATCAAGATTTCCACCCAAAACTGAAATCAGCTAAAAATTTCGAAATACAGATCAGTCGACTGAGGTTTTGATCCTGATTCTAAATATGATATTTTTATTATATAGAAGTTGAGTTCTGATCGAGAAAACTGAAAACTACGGACAGAATTCCGACTTTTTCGCTACTGATTTAGAAAAAACGAATTTTCTCAGCAATGAAACAAAATTTGAAAAAAAGCGACTTATACTTTTGAAGCCGACACTTCAGCAAATATAATGGGATGTAAATGATAGTTCGAATCCTTAGGAAAAGAATGGAAATGAAGACTCATATGATTCTTAGATAAATTAAATATATTTGATTTAATAAAATCGTTTTCTCGTAGTTTATTTTACAGACAGTGCCACATAAGTGCATTTGCTATTTATTAGCTAATGCTCCATTGCTTCATTCCAAGAGATTACTTACTAATTTTTATAAA